AAGTTTCTTCCTGTACTTCTGGTATAGTTCGCGACGAGAACTTTATCCACAGAGACAGAGAGAAACACGTGAATTTGCGACAATGATGCCTGCGTTTAACATTCGATTGAGAGAGAGAAATTTATTGATATAGTTACGCCATAGATTTTCAGGCGACACAGTTTTCTGTTTTTTGTCCAGTTTCATTCACTTAAAACGGCTGCGCCGTTCGCAATTTATTAACTTGGGTTTGATGTAACGTTTGCATTTATTCTGTCAAGCATAAAATGGTTTCGGTATTGCCAAGCAATAAAAGAAGGAAGTCACATTGATGTGCAACGTGACTAGTTTTACAGTAGAATTTTCCGCAAGAACATCCTCTTTCAACATCGGTACACATGTTTCACATGGCAAATCGCATTCCAAATCGCCTGACAACAAGCTTATGATCTATCGCAATGGCGAAGAAAGAAAGAAAAAACCTAAACAGCGACAACATCGGTTAATAAATCACAAAATATAATTATGACAAATGCTGAAATAGCGATTGGGATTTTGTAAACGAGATAGAAAGTACTTTCGAACCGGAGAGGAAAGAAACAGACACCGATGACACATGCATCAATATGTGAGTGTTTTGGTGGGACCGCATACAAACACGCACACGCCACTCACTGAACCATGCCATTCCAGAGGTGTCCAAAACACAGTTAAACAGCCAAAATTATTCACGAGAAAAAAAAAACGAAATGAAACGAAAATAAAAGTGAAAATACATTTTTGGTTGTTGTTGCTGGTGCTGCTGCTATGGCTGACGAGTTGCGGTTGTAAAATTTCAACCTCGTTGTTCAAGTTGAAAAAATTTTGCCAAATTTTTTACTATTCGTTTCGCTCATTTGTTTTTCCTTTCTTTCTCTCGTCTTTTCCTTTCATTCGTTTTAACTGGTTTTCTTTCCTTACGACTATTTGTCGATGATTGTACGAAATCGGACAACGACACATACACAGAAACATATGCATACGAACAAATGTTGCCGAAAATACCTTCGGCGCGGCTCATCTCACAATTTTCGGACAACAACAATAAAGAAATGGAAATCATAAAAATATGCGAATTATACTGATGTAAAAACCCAAAGTAAATTCACCATTTACGAGCGTGTATTATGTGTGATTTACTTGTTGCTGCAATTACAGCAGCCGTTTAAAAACATATGCGAAACAAGAAGGGGAAAAAACGAAGGAAAAAAAAATAAATTAAATGACCATTACCGTTCCATATCAGTCGCCATCAAATCTTAACGAAATGGAAGAAGAAGCTGAAGAGCTGATCAAAATGAGTAAAACGAAATAAGAGCCAAGCAATAGTAACCGAAAATGAAAACAAACCGACTAAAAATGTATACGCACATAGTCATATGCAGAATTGTGCAAATTTCGGTGCGTACTACGCACGACGAGAGTCAGTCAGCCGACTGCGGGCCATCTACTTTCGATTTTGATCGGTAATCTGTTTCGGCTGTAGACTTGATTTGTGCGTGTGATATTCGTTGTCCATTGTTTTTGTTGTTGTCGTCGCCGTCGTCACATAGTGTGTGTGTGTGTGTGTGTGTGTGTGTGTGTGTGTGTGTATTTTTTTGGCAACCAAAAACTTTCACCGAAAATTAAGTGAGTTTTTGTTTCCCGTTGAATTGTTCACTATTGCATGGTTTTTTTTTGTTTGCTGCTTTCGGCGTGGTTTTTTTTTCATTCTTCTCTTTTCTGCGTTCGACGAAGACTGGATTTGAACGGAAAACCCCAAAATGATTTTATGCATGTAAAAGTCTTCATTAAATGTTGTTAATGAGAATTTGGAGATTTTTTTTTTTTTGGAATTTTTGTCTGTGTCTCGCTCTCTTTGAATTGCTGTGTGTCTGTAGCTCGGTTTTGCGTCCCTCTTTCATTCAACAATTTTAATTCGATCGCAGTGATTTATGGCTCTATCTGCTACACAGATTATAGCTCATTATTGAACATCGATTGGTCGCTTTGTTGTTGTCTTCTTTCAAATTCGTGTTTTGGCTTTAGCAATTGCAGGGGTAGGGCCCGCTTGCATTCAACACATTTATTTCATTAGATTGTTCAATTGTTTGCACAAAATTGTGATCAATACAGTGCGCACATTGTCACCGCATCAAATAAAATCGTATATTGGCAACCGGATGATATTTCGTTTGGAAACCTACATGCAGCTTGTATGGAAATGGCTGTGTTATTGTATTGGCGCCAGCATTTTCATTAATCCGCTCATTCAAAATATTTGGCTCTTTTGATGGAAGCAATTTTAGTGCCATATTAGGTGTTTGTTAATACAGAAAGAAGAAAGGTAAAAGCAATCGTCGAAAAATGACAATAAAACGAACATAGAAAAAAAATTCACTTTCATTGAATAGTCAAATTGAGAAAATAAAATTGTTATTTCAAAACAGAGCAGTTTTACCTATTGGAAAATGTATTCCAAAAATCACGAACAGATGACATAGGTAAACTATGAAAACAAAAACATTTTTCAAATTAGACAAATAAAACGATTCGATGAAAATGGATTTGCAACTAAAATAAGGTGTGGATTGATTGAACTTGCAATAGAAAGTGATATGGAATTCATTAGCGGGACACAATGTGCCGTTTGTTTACGATATTACACTGATATACATTTGAATTGGCGCGTTGAGCGCACTCAAATTACGTACGTTTATGTATTGGTTGTGATATGCATTGATGAATAGAACGTACTTTCAAGGTCGTTTGTTATTCCAATTTATTGTCATTGATAACTTTACATACGAGTCTTTTACACAATCACCAAAATTGCGTCCGACTCGCGTCGCAACCAATGAAGATGTTTTCTCATTCTTTTTTTGTTGCAAATTTTGGATCATAAATAGATTGAGTTATTTTTCTTTTCAAAATGATTCGGTTAAATGGTGTGACTCAGCAGAACTGTTTGAAGCAAAAGTCACTTTGGATAAATGAATTGAAATATCTATAATCAAATTTCGGCACTGACATGACACATTTCCTCAGGAATAAGCTACTTAGCATCCATTCAAATCAATGGTTTATGCTAGGGTTTATGCATGTGACGAGAGGATGCACCTTTCGTTGTGTATCAATCGATATGGGCCTTGTTGTGGATACAAAAGATGTCGTATGCAAGTCATTGGATGATATTTTTTTTTCCAGACGAAACACACTCGGGCCAGATCATGCGAATTTCTTTCATACATGGTACATTGTACGAGTAGAAAGTGGAAACCCAATCGGAATTGTACTTGTAGGTTAAAAGTAACACCATACTGTGATGTTTCGCATTATTCGAATTGGTGTTCGATTGGTGTAATTTATCTTCGACATGAAGTTCGCGTTTTCCTCTTAAAGCCCATTTCACTTCGCGCAATTTCAATTCCACGAATAAACGCATAAAAAAAGTACGTTGTATATGAGTGCCCGCGTTGCGGTTGCTGCTATTCGATCGATTCGGTGTGTCTCTATTGACTCTGATTAATTGCATAAAAATTTGTATTGATTTGATAAAAATTGTTGAAACGATCAAAGTAATAAATGGCATTAGTAGAGTAAGGGATAATTTGAAAGTGTTACGGCAGACACACACTTAATTATACAATATATGTATGTATGTGTATGTGGATCTAGTACAAACGCACACATATTTTTATATCTATATTCTCTGGCATTAAATGGAAAATCTATTTGCGTAATCAAACAACTGGTTATGCAGTAAAATCTGAAATGAAAATCGATCACCAGAACAAAAATGATTTTATAATAGTAGGAAGTGCGGTTGTGCGAAAATAAGCGAAACACGAAGAAAAGTAGTATAGACAGAGAGAAGCGAAATGAATGAATAGAAAGAGAAGAAAAGAAAAAAAAAAGAAAAAATTGGTACAATCAACTAACCCAAAGAGCGCACAAGCCAGCAAATACATACCGATTTGCGAATGAAAGCTAAATTGGAAAGAGCAGCAGTAGAAGCACAGCAACAGCATGAAGCCACGAAGAAAGACAACATTGTAAACCACCGAAGCAAACCAATACAGTGTAGCGAGCGAGCGCGCATAGCGAATGCTGATCTCAACACTCGGTTATACGAATCGAATGGGCTTGAGCGTTTGAGAAACATGCGCTCATGCGCGCTCTACTCGTTTCGCGCAAATAAAACAAGCAATTTCACTTTCGTCGCACGACTCGGTTTCTGCTTCGATTTTTTTTTGCTGTTTTTCTTTCTTCTCGTTCATGTTTTTAACACTTTGGCACATCTGTATTTAGCATCGACACAATCATCTCGATATGTGAAGCGAAAGAGTGTGTGAGTGTGTGTGGTTAGTTTTTTTTCACTCTTGCTTCTCTTCTTTACTTGTAGCCAGCAATTTTACTGCTTTCAGCACTTACTTGGATTTCTTTCTCGTCGCAAAGAATGTATAATTACGGTCTTGCTAAAAGTATGCTTTAGCTGAGAAAGAGGTGTGGATAATTGTTTTACACATTGGATGGTCGATCGATGACGATTTCGAACGCTGTCTGATAAATACAAAAAAACGATGATGTAACTTCCAATCACGCTATGAATCAGTCGATGCATAGCCAATGTTCATCACAACTCAACCAAACCAAACTAAACTAAACCCAACTGAAATGAACCAAATCGAAAAAAAAATTAAATGAAATCGAAATGAAACAAATTTTTAAACAAATCTAGTCGGTGATCATAATCGATACCACCAAAATGCATGACCTTCTCCAACGCGAAAAGTGACAACAGTTGCACAGTTATCGGCATTGTGTGAATCGGAACATCAGCGTTCTGTTTCATTCTCGTAGACAATTCTGGTCTTTTATTTTTCTTGGTCTGTCCGTAGCAAATAACTAACCGTAGCACTTAAGTTTGATGCAGTTACCATTTCGATTTAGTCGGAACGGGAGCGTTTGTCTATAAGTAATCGTAGTTTTTCTCTATTCAGGAAAGGCATCCGGAAATAGCAAAGACATTTGTGGCAACGATGATAAATTCAAAGAGGATGGCGATCCATGGAATGTTGAAGCACAAGCTGCCTTCTTAGGGCCAAATTTATGGGACAAAACCTTACCATATGACACGGATCTCAAGGTAACACATGTTAGTATCCTTTCATATTTGTCTTCGAAATGAAATCTCTCGAACGAACTCGTGCTCTATTTCTCTTTTTATTTTTCAACAAACCAAAAAAAAATTTCTCTTTCATTCTCTTTTTTCCGTATAAATTTGAACTTTGGCTAGAAGAAAGAAATTGAACAAGATACCTAAAAAAAACAAGTTTTTCTTTTCCAAATTATTAGTTTTTTTTTTCTTCTTTTTCGGTATAAAGTAACTTTACGAAGAATATATACATAGAAGGCAAAAATGATTCGTTTCTGCGCTCAATTTCAAATCGAATGAACAAAAAACCAAATAAAAAGGATACCAACCAATAAACAATCAATTTGTTAAGGATTGTTTGTACCCGTCAAATTGCTTAACCCCTCGAATGCATTTTTAACCCCATTTTTTGTCACACACGCCAAATATAATCATTCAAACTAATTGACTGAAATGAGCTTAGTGATAGTTTCAGTCTTTTTTTGCCTAACAAACATTCGAAATTGATAGAAAATACCCATGATGATTTATGTTAGCATCGGCGGTAAAACGGAGAGTTAACACTTTTCGTTTCTCGTGCATGAATATTCAAACATTTTAAACATGGCCAAATCAAAAACAAATAATTTTTTATTAGTAACGGGATTATGGTGCGCATGTAGCATAACTGTGGGCGCTTTTGCTTTTCCAACATTAAAGCTTCATAGTGTTTTTAAAGAAAATATGTGCAATTTGAAAGTCATGTCGACCGATAGCATAGCATTCATCCGCTTTATTATTTCTTTTTTTCTTCTTTCAACATTTTCGTTTTTATTCCTATTTTTTCAACAACAATATCTCTCCGCACTAAGGGAAAAAACCGAAGCAAACCCAACTTGACATGATTGAAATAAATAAATATGATCCAATTGAATAAATTTACAGTATGCTGACCTAGATGAGTTTTTGTCTGAGAACAATATTCCTGATGGCTTGCCCGGAACACATTTGGGCCATCCAACTGGTTTGAACCATCGTCCATCGGTGAATGATTCATTGGGTTATTCGACTGGATTAGCACTAGGCTTAGGTCACATCACAACAAAACGCGAACGCTCACCATCACCATCCGATTGTGTCAGCCCCGACACGATAAATCCACCGTCGCCGGCTGAGTCAAGTGAGTGAATATATCATACACATTCCATCTTTCTTTTTTCTTCATTTTATTTTTCGTTTCGACCAAAAACCATTGTATTGGGATGCCTTTTTGATTGAGGTGTCGCAATCCAATTATTATTTCCTTTTATATTGTTCCAAAAAAAAAGCAACGATGCCTTTTTTGTTTATCATCCCTTTTTCTTCCAAAAATCTCAAATCAAATAGACTTATCCATGATCAAAATTTTCAAAGAAACACCAAACCATATCAGTTCCATAAAAAAAACAATCAAATTCTTCTCATTGAGAGAACAAACCAATCGAAAGTAACAGCAAAAAAGAAAAATGAATTAAATTAACTTTACAGCATTTTCGTTTGCGTCATCAGGCCGTGATTTTGATCCACGCACACGTGCATTTTCGGACGAAGAACTTAAACCGCAGCCTATGATCAAAAAATCAAGAAAACAATTTGTGCCCGATGAACTTAAGGACGACAAGTATTGGGCCAGACGCCGAAAGAACAACATTGCCGCCAAACGATCGCGTGACGCACGCCGTCAAAAAGAAAACCAAATCGCGATGCGAGCGCGGTATCTAGAAAAAGAGGTTAATTTATTTTCTATTTTTTACACTTAATTGTGAACCATATATATTTGTTTTATGCAAGTAGAAGTCATTTAGTCCAGAAAGAAAGAAAAAAAAAACACGATGTGACTTTTGCTTGATAAAACATCAATTTTATTTATTGAAATTCCAATTGATATTTTAGCTTGAAGTTGATTATTATTTTTATAAATTATTTACAAGATATCTTTACAGAACTCAACACTGCATCAAGAGCTAGAGCAACTGAAGCAGGAGAACATGGAGCTAAGAGCACGCCTATCCAAATATCAAGACGCATAAGTCGATGTGGTGGAACTCGGTCATTATCGATATCGCCGTCTTCATCATCGCAGTCGCTGTCGTCGTCGGTTGTATGCATTCAAAATACAAATACGAAACAAACCAACAAAACATAAAACAAAATTACAAAAAATTAAAATTAAAATTTAAAACACAAAAAAATAATGATGAAAAAAAAACAAGTTAAATAAGCAAAACAATGTAGACAGACAAATTGCAGCAACCCCCCCACTCACTCACAACTATGCATACATACAGAATTATACGTATACCGAATACAGAATACTGATTACAGAATAACACAATGGAAAATATACACAAAAAAAAAATTAATCACATGATTATTAATTTTAGTACTAAACATTTATGAAGCTAAGCTTATGCGTTGAGAAACTAGGCAGACAAAAAAAAAACAACAAGAAAAAACATAAATAAAAAAAATCGAATAACATTTTAGCCGATTTTTTCGATTGATGACTTACAAGAGAACAGAACAAAATAAGTTTAAACGATGTTGTTCGATTTAACAAGAATTTAAATACAAATTTAAAAACAAAAACTCTTTACAGAGCAAATAGCCAGCAAAAATAGATGATTTAAACTGAACAACAATAAAAATTATTTTAAAAAAAACCATCATACACAAAACAAACACACCCACAATCAAAGCACTCTAAAAAAAGATTAAAAATATGATGAAAATAACGAATGGCCCTAGTAGTTGTAGATTGTACTAAACAATAATTTAATGAGAAAAAAAAACGAAATACACAATAATAATGGCATAGTGTTGGTGCAGGACGGGAGGTTAGTTTTTAGACGAAAATTAAAAAAAAAAAACACAGAATAAATATATATGTTAAATAATAAAGTTGAATAAATTTATACAACAAATGGATTAAAAAAAACAATTTAGTTTTAGAACAAAATACACAATTTACGTATTTAAGAAATACATATACACCAAGTTTATTCGTAGAAATTGTAATCTAAACAAAAACCAACAACAACAACAACAAAACAAACCAATTGTAATGTTACATGAATATTACGTTTAATTTGGTTTTTATTTAACAGAAGAAAAAAACGAACATAACAATATTGATAATCGAATGAAAGAAAAAAGTGAAGATTTACGCAAACAGATGAAATGAATTAGAAAGAATTCAAAGCAGTGAAGCGTGCGATTTAAATGTTAAGATTAAATTAATTTCTTTTTTTGAGTAAAAATCGTTCATTTCTTGTATCCCCTCTTCCTCCCGCCTCCGCGCTTTTATTTATGCCAAAATTTCATTACCATTTCTTCGACTTCTTTTGTTTGATCAAGTGACACCACTAGCATAGCGCTTCACTTTATGGATGTTACTGTTTTTTATTTTTTATTTAGAGATTTAAATGGAAACGCATATACACAAATGGCGCGAGTAAATGTGGGTTACCGGTTCGGGTGGCTGTTAAAAGAATTATGATAAAATATATCGACCGAAACTACCAAATACTAATCAGGACATGTACTTAACAGAGAGAAAAAAAAGAGGAAAAAACAAAATTTTAAAACCTGGGAGAAAGAGAATATGAAACCGTTTCATCGTTAAAATGCATGTCGTTGCGCTCACTTCTATGTAGCATACACATCTCCCTGGGAATGCACATTTGTTACCGAACATTGTTACCAAAATCACAATCACACGGATCTGCACGTCATAGTCAGTAGTTACTTTGTGCTAGTTTCACATTTTTATCCGATATGAAAAAAAAACACAAATCTTCTCTATCTGATGTTATTTTCTTTTTCATTTCCTTACCCACCACCACCCACCTACCTTACTTACTACTTACTCCTGAAGCGAATCGAACACGACGAAAATGCCGCCACACTTACATCGTTAGCTAAACGAAAAAAAGTTTCGGGGAAAAGAAAAGATGCACCGAAAAAATGCAATATGGCACCGATTTAATCGATTTAATTTTTCGCTATTTATTTTTATCCTATTTTTTCCTCCCTTGTTTCCCCATTTCTATAACTAGAGCTTAGTTTTTTAGAAGAGGAAAAAAAATTTGTTACTTTTGTTCTTATTGTTTTAAAATGCATGAAAGCAACTAATTGTTATTTTTATTTTATTTTCTCTCTCTCTCTCTCTCACTCTTTTTTTTTGGTTAATTTTGATAAGTTTATTGTTGAGAAGAGAAAGAGAAAAACATTGATTGAAATTGCTTTTTCCTTTTGTAAATATAAAGTATGATAACATTGAATTTTTCTTTGCTTGAATTAACTCGACTTGTTCTCCGCTTGTCATACAACAAAACAATGTATACAAAACCACCTTCTTCAAAAATACCCACTTACAAAAACGCTGTCCAAATCTAATCGTTAATTGCTAATGTCGGGAAATCTATGATTAATATGAATAGGGCTTCTCCTTAAATTATTGCCTACTCTCTGTTTTCAATTTGATTTTATTTTTTTCGACCCATCCAAATTAAACACATCAACACCTTCTTTTACCTGACCATTCACATCGTGTCTCAACGATGTTCTGTCTATTTTATTTCCTTCTTCTTCTCTATTTTTTGTGAATATTTTCCGAATCGATGATTTTCCGTGGAGAGAAAACCTAAATAAAAATAGATATAATGAAAAAATTATGACAACAAACATGTTTATACCAATGTAAATTAGAATTTAGAGATTATGTTATTAGAGACAAAATGCTAATTAATTAATTTAACAAAGAAATTTGCAAATTATGAACGAAACAAAATAGCGAGAGAAAAGCTAACGACAATTATGTATTGGCATGGTGTGCTGATGAATGAAAGCGAACGTAAATTGCAAAGACGATTTATTTTATTGAAACATTTGGCTAATTTTCAAATATATTTTTTCCGAATGTTGGATATTTCGTTTTGAAAAAAAAAAAAACACAAAGATCAACACCGACAAAACAAAAAGAAATTGCGAACATTTTTAAGTTTGAAATATTGAATTCGAGTAAATTTGTACCAAATTTGCGCAAGACTCCTTTTTTTAAATGTACAGAATAAAACGGAATGAAAAAAAAACCAAATGAAATTTGTGATGAATCTATTATGGTTCAAAAAAGAAGAAAAAAAATGCAAAAAGCTAACATTTTCCCAACATTTGTTCTCACCTGATGAGCAATTTCAACGATATATGTATGAATGTTTTTAGTACATCTCATTGTCATGTTATGATGATAGAACATTTTTATTTTTTACTTCATATACTGATAATGATCCACTGTTGATACAAAATCGTACATTGTTTAGAGAAATTCAGAGACCTTTTCATGCTCCATTCATCATGTTTATTTTTTTGATGATAAAACGAAAACCATTTCAATTTCCGTTGACAAAGAGAAAAATGTTGTTGTCGCAATTCAAATTTGTAAGAATAAAATTTGAAAAAAAAAACTTTTGATTCAACCATTATCGATCAAAATGTGATTTTTAATGGCTTCTTAACTAGCCAAATGGTGTTTGTCGTTTGATCAGTTTTGTTTTTATTTCACGCACTTGAACGAAAAGCCGCAATTTTCTCCGATATTTTTTGCTATTTTCTTTGTCTCTCTCAAGCAGTTGCAATATTTATTTGTTTCTCTTTATCTCGTGAATTTGTGAACAAAACCTTTATACCATTAAGTTACCGTACAATAAACACAATACACGATGCAACATAAGTGTTTGAAAGAAAAAAACGAAACAAAATAGAAATCAGAATCGAAGATTGAAATAGTGTTTATATTTTAGTTAGAGAAAGAGTGAAAAAAAGGAGAAGAAGGTAAGAAAGAGAGAGAGAGAGAGAGCCAGAGCCCAAAATCAGTTTTCAATTAGAGATTTTTACCAGTTTGTAGCCTGCTTTAGTTGAAATGATGCACCTTCTACAAGTGAAGCAAAAACATTGAGAATAAAAATCGATTAATATAATTTAAATGCAAAAAAAGAGTTTAGATTCCCAAATAAAATGAGTAAAATGACTAATTAGCAGAAAAAAAAAACAACAACAACAGCAACAAACAACCATAAGTCTACATATAAATAAATAAACAAAAAAAATTCATTGAGTAGTTGATATACTAATTGTACACATTTAAACAAACCAACAACAAAAAAAACATAGTTAGATCAATTGTAGGGGGCAAAACAAAAATGAATATTTGATATAAATATTTTTATTTTATGTTTATCAGAATAAAACATTGAAACGAAACGGAAAACAATACGAATCACACACACACACACACCTCGTTCTGGTCGGCGCGGGATGTTTGTAAATGCAACGGCAGCCAGAACGGAGTGTGTCATTTCGATTGACAGCCAAATTGAAATTATTTAAAATGGCGCGTTATGCATTCGACCGTTGTGTCGAATGCAGTATCCATGATAACAATAACTCATTGAGATGTCACGTCTCATTTTCGATTTAATTGAAACACTATTACAAATTAGAAAATATTTGGTTGTTACACATGCGTTGCAATCAGCCGCAAACGAGCTGGAAATGATGATAAATATAGAAGAAAAGAAACCCAAAATACAATGAAAAAACAATTGATATGCGTGCAACCGAATCGGTGGATAGTTTTGCGGAGAAATTGGGCACAGTTCTGGCGAAATGGGCATGATTCGGGGAAATCAAGAATATGGCCTTTACTTAATCGAACAACAAGAGTTTCGAATGAATTATTGCAATGCTCTACAGAATCAATTGATATTTACGCAAGATATTTCGGGCTAATCTCTTAACACTCCCAACCAATTCCAGATGCCAAAATTTGAACCCAAATTGCACACCGTTTTTCACTAGATTTTCCACCGATTTTCTTTCACGCTCAATTTATTGATGAATATTCATGAAAATAATAACAACAAGAATCAAATGTTAAATTTTACATTTTATTTGAATGAAATGCACAAAAAATATTAGCTACTCAAATCAGTACAGTTATGAAATCAAAAAAAAAAGATACTGCTTTGGACATTTGTAGATGCAATTACAACAACAACAACAAAACAAATCATTTTAGAGATGAAAACATATGGCAAACAAAAATGGCAAACATTTAACAAAAAAAGAATTATTATTGAAGTTACTAATTAAAAAAGAACAACAAACGAACTAGACGCAAGTGGAGATTTAAAAATTAGTTGAGAGTCTTAGTACACAAGCACACATTATATTTTATTCGTTTAAATAAAATATCAATTTATTCACCCAACTTAATTTTATTTTTTTTGTTTTTTTTTTTTTTTTTGTTTCATTTATGTTTATTTTATCGAATAAATTTTCTTATTGACAAAGAAATAATTGATTTTTTTTTGCATTTTTCCTGTTTTCTCGACAAAATTTCGACCTCTTTTTCATCAAATTTGTATGAGTTTGTCTTCTTTTTTTTCATTTGATGCACACAGAAGAAATCATATTCATTGATAACTAACGATCTCTCCACTGCGATGACAGTATAATGTCGATGGAAAAGAATACCATGTTAATAGCAAAACTAAGAGAATAAGCTGAAAAACAACAGCCGACCTGAACATTTGCCTTGATTTTTTTCTATCTGCCACATCTGCATCCTACGTTTGCATCACATTTCGGATTCACACCACAGGTGATTGAAGGACTCAATTCGGTTTGATTTCGAAACAAGTATAACGAAAAATGGTGCCCAAAAAGACAAATTGATTCGCTTAATTGTTTCCTTCGTTTGTTTTTAGAAGAAATTGAATTAAAAAACAAAGTAAAATTATTAGAAAGGTGGACGTATGTCATGGAATATTTAGAAAAAAAAAATTGACACGAAATCCTAGCACAAAATGTCAAGTGTGAAAGCGAAAGAGAGAAAGAGTTCCTTCGCCGAAATGAAAATTAACAAAAAAAAAAAAATGATAAATTGGAAATACATGTTACTCGTTTGTTGTCAATTATTGTTAAAATGAACCGAGAGAGCAAAAACTCATGAAAACTTAACAACAAAAAAATTACTAAGTTATACTTATATAAAACAAAACAAAATGCGGTTTGTTACTTTAAATGTTGATAAATGAAGAAGAAGAAAAATGGCTGTTGTATTTTGTAGCTCATGGATTATATTGAAATTCAAGGGAAATATTGATTTGGTTTCTAAGGATGTATTTCTATTTGCTTGTATTTCGAATTCCTTCCAGAACGTCAAATGTTTTAGCAAAATCACCACTCCCCCACCACCATTGATATCTGTTTTTGTTCCAACACAATGTCCGAACTAACACATGAATTTGCGGTTATCGATTTTGTTACAATTTTATTTTTCTTCTAAAAAATGGTGCTCGTTATAAAAACCTTCCGATGAAATATGAATAGAATCGATTTGAATCAATTGAAACGAAGGTATTAAGGTACTATCTGAACTATTAAGGTACTAAATGCATAGAAATTAGCATCATTTCTTGGTAGATTAAATTTTTTTTGTAGTATTTTAGAGAAAATGGAATTCATTGAGAGAATGAAAAGTGTTTTTTTTTTAAATTCGGAAAAGATGCTGAAGATTGAAATCGTGGGTTAAATTGTGTTTTGGCTATGAATGATATTGATTCCAGCGATCATTGACATTCTAGTCCCTTTTCATCGATAGGCTTCTGTAACACTGACAAATGAATATTGCAATCACACATGATTTGCTAACGAAACTGTTTTTATTAACGAACGGATGAACAAAATACAAATGATAGCTAAAATAGTGTAGACAAAATTCATTGAAATTAAGTGAACAGAGAAACACACATACAGCCAACCAAATCGTTTATCAATACACACACACACACACACACACACACACTGATTACTGTCGTCTACTTGACCGATTCCTACAAAAAATGCAAAATGTGCCTTGATTTAAAGTCCGTGTAAAATTCGCTTGCTTCGGAAGGAAGAATAAACCAAAACAAACAAACCTGTTGTTTCTGCAACTGCTTTTCCTCCCAATTGAGTTATACATTTAGCAAACACAATTTATGTTTTGACCCATTATGAGGCTCTCATCAACCAATTTTGTTCTTGCAATACAATGTTATCTTTCAATTTTATTTAAATTTTCTCATAAAGTCCATCTCTGTTTTATCGATAGATCGATTATATTGAAGTCATTTGATGACTCAATGGGGGGAGATCGACATCGAAACAATTCATATAAAAGGAATTCTCTCGACACTTTCATTGCAATCAAGAGATTCAACTCGAAGAGAAAGAGAGCACAAAATGTTTGAACTAATTCGCTTATAATATGAGCCTTGAGATGAAAGCAAATTCAAAATGATGAAGAATTCTCAAGTAGACCTCTTAACCGCTTTAATTTCTATGGAAACAATGTTCTCGCTTCGAAAAATGATGAAATGAAAGTGAGTCATTTCGCGCAAATGTGCTTTCATAGCCGCCATATATAATTTTGTAGAATCTTCCAAAAATCCCACCAGGCCAAAATTGAACGAATCAAAAGAAATAGAAATCAACAGTTGTCGGTTTTGTCAATAGATCATTCATAATTTGAAAGTGAACCTTCTTTTTTTTGTACTTTTCATCCAATCATTTGAATTTCAAGTGAAATATATGAGCTCACATCGCGCTACAAATAAAATTATACATACAACAACCACAACAACAACAAATAAAATGTCCAAAAAACATTGAGCTTCTTATTTTGAAGAATTATACATGGATACATGTGAAATCGATTTTTGAAAACGTAATCGTATTGGAATAATATTCAACAGATTGATATGCATACTACAGAAACAAAATACAGAGCAAAAGATAAACAAAACACATTAATGCAACAAACAGGAGGCTAAAATGGTTAATTTTTTTATTAAATGATATAAAAAGCAAATCGTACGAAGTTTTTTCCGATGATTTGAAAGGAATTTCGAAATTCAGATAATAACCAGAATAATATTTGAACAAAGAAGAAAACACACACACACACGAATACACAGACAGACACAATTCAAGCGAGATTTATGACATTCTAGAAATTTCAGTAGCATTACCATTTTAATAATTACAACATAACACTCTCTCTAACACACACACACAAAACACTAGCCTACGAAAAGTAAGCTGTAGCTTAAAAATGGAGTACACCTATTGCTTCACCAGAACGAGAAGAAACACAAACAAAAAATTATCCAAAATAAATAACAAAACAAAAAATAAATATAAAATGAATTATATGAACATATTCTTGAACTAAAATTTAAACAAAAAATTTAAAAGAATTTATTTTTTAGAAAATGTTAATGAGGTAAAAATGGAAAAAAAATGATGCAAAAAAAGTACTAATATTATAATCATATTTTTTTTTTCATTTTCTGAAGAAAATATTCGTTTTGTTCGGGTGGAAAATCCACCGTAGACTTTGAGGGAAAAAAAACACAACCCATTACAAGAGAAAACGAACAAAAAATCGAAATGCGAATACCAAATAGTGTGAATCGCAGCAATGCTGCTCTTATCTGGAGCCATTCATTTTCATTGTTGGGTACATATTGTGAGCTCTCAATATTCAAATCACCGATAATATTAATCTGCAATTAACGAACCGAGTGTATGAAATTCAAGCAAATTGTTTGCGTTTCACGTGCTATCGAATGGCATCTGATAGAATGGCCATTGCATTCACCTAAACATGAAAAAAGTGAAGAAGAAATTGTATTTACCAAAAAAAAAATAAACAAAAGAAAATGAATACAAATCTATTGATGAGATGTAGAGAATGAGCGCATGTTTCCCAATATTGCCTTTTTTGGGTTTCGTTTCTATTCTGTCTGATTTCCCGCGTTGGGATGAAAATCTGTTGGAATGATGTGTCATTGGTCAACGAAAACACTCACACACACACTTTTATCACTGCAAATGTTGAAGAACATCACCTCTCTACTTTTCATGAATAGACCCAATAGATATACATATTATTATTATTATTATTATACATCCTAACTATACAGAAATAAACAAATAAATTGTTATTGGCTGCTCAGTTTAGTGAGAACAGAACAAGTTTAACACGAAAATAGAAGAAAAACCAATCAATCATTGTTTTCTTTCATTATACGTTTCGTTCTTTTCTTCCAGCACGTGAGACACTGAATCTTGAATGACTCATTTCGTTTCCAATGACGATGAGTGAATTGATAATCAGCAATGGTGTTGATTTTATGTGTGAACAAATTTTGGCCATTGCTTTGCACAAATTCTCGTTTGAAAATTATTGATCAGAAAATGGCGCGCGAATTATAAATAAACTGGGCGCGATCGTATTAGCTTATTTCATGACACACATGAATTCAATCTCACACACACACACACACTTAATTGAAAAACGTAATATGATTTGTTCCATAAGATGTAGTTTTCTGTAACAAACATGATTTGATATGGCAATAAGAGCAATACATTTTCGAAATATAATGAAAAGAACTGTATTCAAACGACTTTTATATTTCGACAACGGGCCAGTAACATATATCATCTTACAGAAGATCGCCGAGGAGAAATAAATAAGAAAACATATTTTTCCTGTGCTACTTTTACGTCGTAGCTCATAGTAATAAATCACATATATCTAAACTTCAAACGGAGACATCAGATTCGAATAATAACACTGAATTCAGCACATATACAGCAACTTTTTTTACATATTGGGAATAACAATATTATTATCAACAAGAGGAGGAAAGTCATTCTGGTTATCATTTTTGGGAAACTCGGGAACTATTACCCGGTGGAAAGATGGGTAGATTCAAATCTACAGGTCAATGGAGTTATAATTATAAAGTTAAATTTCCATATAAAGATGGTGGAAAGCAATATTTGTATGGACAAAGTTTGGATCGTAACTGGTTTATTCAAGAATTATTGCCCAACGGTAAGATGGGCCAAGAAACCGATCATGTTACATTTTGGCGATATTACGGAGCTCAATTCCCATTTCGAATTGGTGGCAGACAATTCATTTATGGGCAAAATAGGAAATCAAGAATTTGGTTTATTCAGGAAATATGGCCCAGTGGATGGATGGGCCAAGAAAGAAATGTTGGTGAATGGGGTATGTTTTACGAAGATCAATTCCTGTTTTGCTTTATAAGGTGATTACAATACAAAAGTTCGTTATAATTCTCGATAATTCTGAAACCTTATATTGTGCGGATAAAGATTTTTATCCGTAACTGCGATCCTTATAATCGAACGCTTTCACCGATACGGATAACTATTTGCATTGGTATTTGTGAGCCATGAAAAAAAGTACGAGTTAACCGTAGCACGAGCAA